TACAACAGACTGATAGGACTGAGTGCGATATAAATTCGTCAATCATTTGATAAATACACCATAAAATCTATTTTGTTTACGTCCCGCTGTGAAACAACTTGACATAAGGAGTACTTTCGATGTATATAGTGACAACAAAAAATAAATATGTAATTTTTATCTGTAAAATAGTTTTCATAGGTATAACGCACATGAAACACTAGACGTAAACTTGTAGGCACTATTCGCATCGCACGTGTCACCCGACGAGAAATACCTCTTTGAGAATCACATGGCGTGATGTTTTGATAATGTACTGTAATGAGTTCGTATGCGCTTTCGAAGTTTGCTTTTAGCAATGGTTCACCAGTTATTTTTTGTTTTAAACATTTTACTTCGGGACGAAAACGATTTAGATTTCACGGTGTACTGATGCGATGTGTAATCATGATCAACATCAGGGGTCCGGGATAGTCCACTGCTGCACTATTAGCCTACTCTACATATGGTGCCTCTGCCGTAATCTCCGCAGGCAGGCTTTTTTAAATGGTGAAAATCATCAGATGACTTCTCCCGTCCGGGTGAGGCGAGAGGGAGTGTCAGACTATTACTGACTAAAAACCACCCCGTTCCTTCTCCTGCACGTCGAGCCGGAGCACAAGGAGATCGCAAGAGTTCAGATTTATCAGAGAACGCTGTTTCTCTGTCTCTGTTAAATGTGTAGTTCCTTAGGCGTACGACATCAAAGGAAGATGTACTATGATTGAATTTTACTTCATATAACTGTGTTTTTGATATTTTGAAAGTATAATGAATGTCTTTGACTTTACTGTTACAAATACAACTGTGCGAAAAATACATAAACAACTCATTTTTAATAGATTTTTTTATGAAGTAGGATTGTTAGGGATATTGGTTTATTTATTTATTTAGTTAGATTTGTTACACACTTCACGATATCCGCCGATTCTATAAAAGTGTAGGCACATCTAGAAATTATATTTTTTCGTAATATTCTTGAGGTCGTTTTTCGTAAAATGTTACAAAATAAACACCAAGAAACGTTATCTTCAATTAGGTTAGAATTCCAAAAATAACGGTTATCGAAAACCGTTATTCCCATAAAAATAAACGTTGCAAAAACCGAAAGTTTATAAAAAAAACAAGCTACCAAAATTAGATACAGAGATGATTTTGACCAAATAAATCTTTTTTGCTTTCGTAAGACGTTTAAAAAAAACTGGTTTTTAATTTTTACTCTCTTGTGTTCGCCTGTGTAATACTATTTCGTTCTCTTTGGCTGTATGCAAGACTGTCCTTGACTCACATGAGATGCGCCGCCATCTTGGGAGCTGTCAACGCGACATTTAGAGGTTATTTTTTCTTTTTTTTTGTACACGGCAAGGGTTCATTCAGGCTATCAATTAAAAGAGGTTTTAATTTTTATTGAAATGGCTCATTTTATTGATATTTATGTTTTAATTGGTAATCTGTGTTAACCCTCGTTTTGTTTGCATGCTTTTTTTTGCATGTTTTTGATGTTTTTATTTAGGTTGAAAATTGAATGGAAACGTACCTGAATTGACCGATATTTTTGTGTATTTTAATGGTTTTGAAACAGGTAGATATTTATATTTATTTTACACTTTATCTTTGCGTACTTACGATCGCCGAAATTGCTTATTTATTGACTTTAAAGATTATCACGAAGTTACTTTCTGCATTGGTCATTGGTCAGGTAGTCGCGATAATTCCCGGAACAAGCGAAAAGTATTTGAACAAGGTTGGCTCTTGTTCAATGGTTACTGCGATTAAGAATAAAATCAGACATAAATTCTTACAAACTTTTATATGTATGACTAGCGACCCACCCCAGCTTCGCATGGGTGCAATATACACACAAACCTTCCTTTTTTTATTATCTATGGTTTTAGGGACTTTTCGTTTAGGAACATGTCAGCCCCGTTAGGACATATTTTCTTACATCTAACATACTTAATTAACTAAATTGATCAAAGCATCACTGATGCATGAAGATCTTATATATGGCAATGGCTGCAGACGAAGTGGGATTCGCTAGAATAGATGAAAAACAACCAATATCTAACGCATTCAATTTAAATTCACGCATCAGTGATTCTCGGCCTGCATCATACACAAACCTTCCTTAAGAATCCCTCTATCTATTAAAAAAACCGCATCAAAATCCATTTCGTAGTTTTAAAGATCTAAGCATACATAGGGACAGACAGACGGCGGATAGCGAGTTTGTTTTTACTAGGTATGTGATGATGATAAGTAGCTTTTTCAATACAAAGCATTACATTACAGTCTTAACTCGCGTCCCCGTAGGCTAAAAAGCCTATGTGTTATTCCAGACCATAATCTATCCCTGTTCGAAATTGAATTCCGATCCTTTCAGCAGTTTTGACGTTATCTTATACTATCATATAAAGCGGAAGAGTTTGTTTTTTTGTTTGTTTGTTTGTTTGTTTGTTTGAACGCGCTAATCTCCGTAACTACAAGTCGGATTTGAATAATTCTTATTGTGTTGGATACCGCATTTATCGAGGATGGCTATAGGCTATAAAACATCACGCTACGACCAATAGGAACTGAGCAGAGCGTGTAACACCGCGCGAAAGTAGCTAGTTGAGTAATAAACAGATACACAAAATCACAAAATTTCGCAGTTATAATATTAGTAAGATAAGATTTGTAAAAAAATCCCCTTATCTATACTAATATTATAAATCCGAAGAGTTTGTTTTTTTGTTTGTTCGTTTGAACGCTCTAATCTCCGAAACTACCAGTCCGATTTCAATAATTCTTTTTGTGTTGGATAGTACATTTATTGAAGTAGGTTATAGGCTACAAAACATCACGTTGCCATCATTAGGAGCCGAGCAGAGCGGGTGCAACCGCGCGGAAGTAGCTAGTCCTTAACTAAACTTAAAAAGTTTGAATCAACATCCTTTTATTGAAGAGCTGAGATGTTAACACGTCATGATTTGGTAAAAAATGGACGAAATTTCTTGCATTGAAATAACCGTTCTTAGTCTTAAATTAATTAGGAGCTTTTTTGTTCAGCGCACTCTGGCTAAAGAAATTCTAACGTCACTTTTAGAGATCATTATGCATAATAATTTTGAAGTTATTTATAATAACTAACTTTTCGAACTGTCAAAAACGAAAGTTTTCCATGAATTTTGTACGAGATTGTGTATTGTGACGTCACGTTTTGTTGGCGTCAAACAGCGTAGTTATTTTTTATAAAATTGCTGGAACAATACCTACTAATATTATGTTGGTCATAAATTCAATTAATGAAAGTGTGATTATTTTTTATTATTTTATTTAGTAGTCGAAATAATTTATTTTTGATTAAGGAATACTTTCCTTAATCAAAAATAAAATATTTAATTGGGTACTCCCAATTATACCCCCCTTCCTGATGACAGATCGAGATGATATTTGGTACACACTCTTTATCGTGATGACCATACAATATAATCAAAATTTTACCAATATGGGTATGAAACGAAAGCACTTGAGCTCATTAAAACCGTTTTTTATTTAATAACCCGGCAAACGAGCAGGATCACCTGATGGTAAGCAATCGGCGTCGCCCATGGACACACGGAACACCAGAGGTATTACAAGTGCGTTACCGGCCTTTTGGGAATCGGGAATATGAGGATCGTGGGGGATTCGGAGACTGAGGAGACTGGGGATGAAGGATAACTGATGCACTGTAGGTTATTATTAGGAGTATATAGTAGACACAGATAGAATATTTCTGTGAATGTAGACATACGACTTTTCTAAGATTAGGGGGGGGGGGGGTAGTAATTGGGTCTCCGATAACCTCACTCACACGACGAAACACAACGCAAGCGTTGTTTCAATATGGTTTTCTGCTCGGCCGTCGTATCACTCCGATCGAGCCGGCTCAGCAGTGCCGAAGCATGGCCTTATGATTAGGATGTAAATTACTTAACGAACATTTTTGGGTGCGGGTTCGAAATCTACCAACAATGTGATGACAAATATGTTTTACTCAGCTGTCACCTCATGACTTAGGCACATTAATACACAAGTATTGTTAAAAACTTTTCATAACCACGGAACCTAAAACACACAGGTTCGATTCACGTCCAACCACTTTTTTTGCCGTCTGCTTGTTTGGTTCAATAACCGAACGGGTTTGATGTTCTGTCGCGTCATTATGTAATAATGATTATCATTAACTTGTATGTATGTGTGAGGGGTCTTAACTCGAATACTGCTTGACTCATTTTGATCGTTTAATGAATATTTTCTTTACAATCGTGGAATGTTTTCGGTTTCTAGTTGAAGTGTTGAGTTAATTTGTTTAGTACTTTAATTTCTGTAGATAGAAAGGATTTTTTTTGTTGCTGCCCAACCATTATTTTAGATACAGGATTTCAGGCTACTATCAAAGTACCAAAATATACACCAAAAGACCTGTAATACGCACAAACGTTTTGATGTTTTCTCCATTAAAAAATTTGAACTTTTGACTGCCTCGTTGGCTGAGTGGTCGTAAGTGCGATTGCCGGGCTAGGGGTCTCGGGTTCGATTCTAGGGTCGGGCAAAGCATTACTGGGTTTTTAACTCTTTCAGTCTTAGTGATCACTGTAGCTAACCACCTTTTCTTAGAAATTCAATTTTTGAAGTATGCTTCAGATTTTTATGCTTTGTTTTTTAAGTATTTTAGTATAATTAAATGAAATATATTCATAACCAGTTAGAAGTGTGACTGAAAGAGTTAAAGAAAAAAGAACCCGTGTCCCCTCGTCCGGCAGTCGCACTTGCTACCACTCGGCAGTCCTCTTTCTGATTTATTTCGTTGCGGAATTTAAGAGTTATTCATGTCCAGGTGTTTGGATGGTTGTATCTACTGTAGATCCTGGCTTACAGGAGTTGCAGCGGTTTTGGGAGGTTGTGGTGGATTTGTCCCAAAAAAATATCCACAATAGCTTTCGTATGGTACTTACCAGGAGTGTCAGTCTCCACGTCGAAATGTATATGGGTTCTCGCAGACACCATGAGCCGGTAGTCACAAGTGTCACATCGGACGCTGAGGTGCCACATTCCCACGTATGCTGCTTGCACTTCTGGTCTGTTCGGACTTACCGGTAGCACGGATAACCTGCGGGAAATAAACGAGGATTATGATCATCGTCGTCATTATCACCTTAATAACACGACTGACTGACTGACTGCCTCGTTGGCCGAGTGGTCGAAATTGCGATGGCCAGGCAAGCTTTTTCAAAAAAATTCAGTAGTAGTACGGAGTCTGGAATTGTGCCCGGTATATGACAATAGGCTCACCCCCTATTACATGAGACTCATCATAACATAAATAGTGAAAAGTGGGTGTTACATTGTACAGTGGCATTAAGTGCCGTAATCTACACCTCTGCCTACCCCTTCGGGGATAAAAGGCTTGATGTTATGTTATCAGACAAGAGACGTCCGCGGTGCAGAGTAGATATTAGACACCTCTTCCAATTCCTACGCCATTTTTTTCCTATTTATATTTGATAGGCCGACGTTCGACCACTATCTCGCCTGGTCGTAAGCGATGATGCGGTCTACGATGGAGCACGTCGACCCATAAACAACCTATTCACTCAGGCTTTTATTTTTTTTTTAAGGGGGGAAAATCATCGAATGACTGCTCCCGCCTGGGTGAGGCGGGAGGGAGTGTCAGACTCTTACTGACTAAAAACCACCCCGTTCCTTCTCCTGCACGTCGAGCCGGAGCCCCGGTAACGCGTTAGGTTCTCCGCGACATTCACTCAGGCTTGCATTGACTATTACTATAATAAGTACTGAAATACTTTGGCCAAATTCGATGCGAAATGTATGGAAACAAAGCTTAAGTATAGGACTACATGTATATGTATCTAGCGGATATGTATGTGCGGTCCCACTCCCAACCTCTCTCTCTCTCTCTCTCTCTCTCTCTCTCTCTCTCTCTCTCTCTCTATTTACTGACAGTTCTGAGTGATGACACAACTATACAACCACACAAACTGCTATTTGCTGCAGACAGATGTACTCGCACCTTTGTTTTAACATTTTACATCGATCTCTCGTGTTTCTTGTTCGTTCTCATTATGGAACGAGTACCTAGCTTCACTGACGGTTAGACTGACAGACAGTTCCATTTTGTGACTTAAGAGGTAGCTTATAAGTTCTCTTATTATATGTAATTCGTGAAACGGATTACAAGGCTCGTACACAAAACTGCGATGCGATGTCGCGTCGCAAGAATTTGCGAATTGATTCGCATCGCGCATCAAAATCTTATCTTCCCAAAATCTTCTTTGTTTCTTTGTCCTGTATCTCCTAAGCAATAACAGAAGTGCACACTTCTTTTTACGATCCATGTCACGACCTAGTTTTCAATTTAAAATACGTTTAGTACGGTTGACAGTCGTCGAAGGAATGATCATCCTGGGAGACGCCTTGTCGCACGGAATCGCATCGCAGCAATTCGCATCGTAATTTTATACATTGCGGATTTGCATCGCATCGCATTGCGGCTTTGTGTACGCCATGCCCAAGGTCACTTTGGAAAATATGGTTATCACAATATTTGCTCTTAATACTTACATGTCCAAATCATACTTGGTGCCAGGGAAGATCAGATAGACGTCTCTTGGAGACATACCCTCGGTTCTCGATGTGGACGAGAACGCGGCTACTGATGTTGTGTTGTACAGGTCGATTTGAGGGGCTGGGCAGAGAACGTGGTGGTTAGCATATCAGAATGACGCTTGACAAGTATTCATAAAAGAATGCAGCTTTAATTACAAGGTTTCAACGTCCTGAAATGCTGAAACGAAAGTCAATTTTTAAGGTTTTTCTATCTCTTAAACTATATTTTATTGAAATCGGTTCAGTAGTTTAAGCATAACAGAGCTTTCACATTTGAAAATATTTAAAAGTTGAGCTAAGTAGCTTTTGCCACGAATTTGTAAAAAAGAAGAAAAATGGTCGATCCATATTTTTCTGAAAATACAGTTTGGTCTAAATTCTTATTGATGTTTTGGGAATTCTCACTCTCATGGCAGCAGTTGACTCATAGCCCAAAAGCTCGCATTACGAATCCCCTAAATAATGTTTTGCTAAAAACTTGTCTCAATTGAAGCAAAAAATACCGAGTAATCAATTAAATATAAGTATCTAATTATGTACAATCAACAAAGTTGGCGGTTGACCATTATTAGGCGATATTCGCATGCACTCGACGCGAGCGACCACAGGGAAACACCCGGTGGATAGCGAATATGCCAAAGCATGTTGTTTAAAGAGTGAACTGCCGTAAACTTTGCCGATAGTACATATGACTATTATATGTACAAGGTACATATATAATTATCCTGTCAAAACATAACAGCTTGCCACCGGAACATAGTCATTTCATGTAATCATCATCATCATTTCATTCCACTGTGACTGTAATAATTTCCAATGTAATTTGTTTTATTCTTTTAATGACTGCTTAATATGGCATTGGACGACTTCTTCCTGTGTATTAAGGACTATTATTGCATCTATTATTCTCGTCTCTGGAGGATCCATCATCAATTGACTGGACAATCTCTTTACGTGGGCTGCTGTTTACATGTAAACATTAGCTCATGACGATACCTAAGTACGCGTGTCGCCTGGACAGTCACCGCTACCATAAGTCGACAGGACAGTCTCTACTTACCATCATTAGGAGGGTACAGTACAGCATGTTCTACGGCTCCCTCAATGAAGACCCTCAACGCTGTGACTCCGTTCTCCACTGGAACTCCTAGAGATATGGCTTGTCCACCCCCACGACGTACCAACAGCAGCTGATAGACAGAAAAAGACTAGGATGTTAGTTAGTCGCGAAGTTTAGTATTCTGCACTTCTCGTATAACGTATGGATCCTAAGTGTAATACGACCCGTATTACCTTTACGGCCTGGCCACGAGGATCGGCGGCGCGAACTGCGGAGGCGATTGCCGCCGCGACCATAGAATATGGTATTATAAGAGGCGGAATTTTAGCCAAAGTCATAAAAAATTAATCTAACCAACAATGAAATCCTAATATAATAAACTTTCGTATGTGAATGTTGCGTACCGCAGATTACGGACTCTATACAAAAATATTAGTTCTAAGTTTCAAACGACTGGCACCGTATTCATTTGTTTCACTCGCCGGTGCAATTCGCCGGTACATTTCGACCGTCGCCGCTCTTGCGTAGTTTACTCAGTACATTTCTATGTGTTTGTTTCAGTGGCTATACGCCTCGTGCACCGTTCCATTCAAATAAATTTTCGGTATGTCCCAATTGCATCCGAGACCCTGCCTGGTCAGTCGCATTCCTAACCCAACCAATGTGCAATGTAGTTCTGCACCCTTAATGAAGGAAAAATCAGGTACACTCACGTCAAACTTCTCCAGCCCCAAGTCGTTATGCAATCTGCCTCGTCTGCCCTGCTTAGGGTCCAAGGGGTTCCATTGCTCCAGCTCAGTCTCTGCAGCCAAATTGGCTGATCCTTCCATGTCCTGAAACAAAATGAGGGTTGAGTACTTCAGCCGTATATTTTGTCTTGCTGATGCAAAAATTTGAGTAATTACTTTTAATAATTACGCACAACAAAGTAACTAAGAATTGTATTGTGAACCTGATTAAAAAAAGGGAAACCTATGGAGTTTCTTGCTCGTTCTTCTCCATAGCAATCTACACTTTGGAACGAGCAAATAGAGCAACTAGACCAGTGGTTCCTAACCTGGGGGTAATTACCCCCGCAGGGGTAAAACGGAGATTCTAGGGGGGTAACACGGGATGGCACGAAATAGTATTAAAATAGCAATAAACAAAATACATGATATGAGATGCGCGTTGAGTGAAACCAAACCTAATATTGTCAAACTTGCGAATGCAAAGCAATTTCAACCTTCACATTAGTTAACTCCAAGATATTACTTTACTTTACTTTACTAGTTACCTAAACGTGCAATTTCTTAGAATTTTGTGAGATAATAAACATATTTTCGTTCGAATTTGTGTCGTTTTAATTATTTTAAATTAGCTAGGGGTAAACTCAATTCCCATACTTGTTCACAGGGGTAGTGACATTGAAAAGGTTAGGAACCGCTGAACTAGACTGACCGACAGACTGATACTTTTGATTTATTTGTTTTGACGTTCAAAATTGTCTTCCTTGTCTAATTGAAATAAATGACCTTGACTTTGCAATGCAATGTTGTTAGCAGCTTTTTCTTCACAATCTTCATCACCATCATCATCAGCCTATAAATGCCCATTGCTGACCAAAAGCCTCTTCTCACACGGAGAATGTTTGAGCATTAATCACAACGCTTGCTCAATGCGGGTTTGAAATCCTTATATATTAGTCTTGAATTTACACTTGACTAAGTTTAGTTCTTTATAACACTAATTAATAATTTGTTGAGATCGGGTAAAATAAATATTGCTAAGTTGTTCCTTTTGATATAAAAATCTTTAAATATTTTATACTTACTAATATTATTATTACAAAAGATTCGTCTGTTGGTATTTCCTGTACATCGAAAGTGAGGGCTTTTATAGTATGATATTTGTACCTTGAAATAGGTTACTTTATTTTCCTTTGACAAAGCAGGTGAAACCGCAGCAAGAAAACTAGTAGCAATTATATAATGTAAATATCCTCATATGTCAGTAAAACTTTCTTTAGTCATTAGATTTCGTCATTATTATACAGGATCATTAATGCTCGTTAGTTCAGCCATATTCTATAAACGATCAATCTGAAGTTGTCTGAGAATTTTTATATTTATGTGTTTCATATATTGTTGTGGGGTCGCGTTATATGTACTTTCTAGATACACCACGGACAAACGGTGAAGGAAAACATCGTGTGGTAATCTGGGATTATAATTGCTAATTATAAGTTTGAAATCTCCAACCCTTATTGAGCAAGCTTGGTGATTAATGCTTAAACCTTCTCCGTATGAGACGAGACCTTAGGTCGGCAGTGGCCACTTATAGGCTGTTGATGTGTGACTGTGTCTGTATTTCTTTACTACATTTTTGCATCCGTGAATTCATTCATCCGCGTCAAACTATCATCAGTCCCAGTCTATTATCAAATTAACAAGACTCCATTGAAGCCATAAATGTTTTTCAATAAAAAAAAACATACCATAACTTGTAGTGGATACGGCATGACCTCTCCTTCCGTGTGTTTGGAGACATTCCTCAACTCCTGGAGAGCTTCTTCGGACTGTGGTGATGGGTGAGCTGGATCGGTCCATATTGTGTAGACCTGGTGAGGATTGGTAGGTAGTTTAATAGTTTTACTTGGACATATTTGCTTATATGAAGTATAACATTTCATAAGGAAAAAAATAATTGTTATCATTTGGGAACCTCTATGCTTCGGCATGAATGGGCTCGCTAGACCGGGGTGATACCACGGTTTCATAGAAAATCGACGTGGAATAATCACAGCATTGTGTTTTTCCGCATGAATACAGCCCTCCGCTCCCCAAAGGCCGTAAACCACTTGTAACTGCTCTGGTGTTGTGGAAATCTTGGACGGTGCTAATTGCTTACCATCAGATGATAAACCTGCTAGTTTGATTATAAAAATGCTATGGTTTCTTTGGTATTACCTTCAGCCGCTTTTCAACCAGCGCCCTCAAAGCTAGTGGTAGTCGCTGAGGATCTCCAGGTCCTTTATCCGTGATGATGAAGAGAGCACTGTCGTATGGTACCAGCTTGGCTGCTGTCGATAAAGCTCTCATCGTACCGTCATTCGTTGTGTCTGTGTTCACACCCTGCGGAAAGAGATGGTTTTGGTTATTGTCAATGAAATAGTATGAGGTGTCAAGCTTGGGTGGAATTCTTGGGATTCTTTTGTTACTAGCTTCTGCCGGTGGCCTTGCCCGTGTTCCCGTGGAATAAAAAGTAGCCTATGAGTTATTTCAGACTATAATCTGCCCCTGTTCCAAATTCCATTCCGATCCCTTCAGTCGTTTTGACGTCAAGGAGTATTAAACATTAGTAGTACTAGGTAGTGGCGATGCCTGCATTACCGAGATCAAAAGAAAACTACGTTTTGTTCAAGACTATAATTCGTGACAATTTTCATCTTAATCCGTTCAGTAGTTTTTGATTAAATGGGTAACAAACATAAATCCATCAGAAATTTTAGCATTTACAAATATTTGTAGGAAGTAAGATAGAAAAGACAGCCTGATAAAGGTCGCAGGGGGTCGCTGGATTCAGTTCGCTTCTAACAGGACTATCTAGAAGTTATTGAGGGAGGCCTATCTTCAGTAATGTATGTCGATGATGATGAAGATGGTGGGACAGATTTATGTAGTAGGATAGGATTAAGATGTACCTGATATTTTCGTAAGAGCTTGGATAATGCTTCTGCAACGGTCTTCTCACTTGAAGAACTGGATGGCTGAAGGTTGTGTCTCGATCTCCAGTTGACTCCTGTTGACAATACATAAATATAATTGATATTATCATAATCAGGTCGTGTCCACATATACAGCTCCAATAACACGCATACTAGGAGTTTGTCATAATATCGATGCTTAGGGTTGGACATTGCAGGATAAAAGGTTCAGGTTTATCAGAGAGCGCTGCTGCCCGGCCTCTGTCAAATGTGTAGTCATGCTAATGTTAAACGCAGAAGAATGCTTCAATTGTGAACTTGTGACTTAATAGCATGTGTGTCGGAATGTTCTTCAAAATTGTGTACTTGCCAACTAGTCAAATTCAATACTTTTTTCGAACTGTCAAAAACGACAGTTTTCTATGAATTTTGTACGAGATTGTGTATTGTGACGTCACGTTTTTTTAGCGTCGAACAGCATACTTATTTGGTAAAAAATTGTTGGAAAAATAATTACTAAAATTAAGTTGGTCATAAAATCAATTCATGATAGTGTGATTATTTTTTTAATGTTTTATTGTATTGAACAGTCGAAATAATTTATTTTTGACTAAGGAAAGTACTCAATTAGCATGCTCATTTCGGCCATGTTTGGGAATCGACAAGCGTTAAATTTTTGAGTATTCTACCAAAAAGTATTTTATCTCTACATACAAATGTTTCTTTGCCTATTAACCGAAATAAATGGAGCTATACAACAGATTCTATTATTATCAACAAATCGAATACGTAAGGAAAACCCAACACCCAAGTTCTTGGGAAAGGTAGGCAGAGACCTTGACGCTAATTATGTAATACATGAGTATCTGTTTCGCCCCACTTACTACCGACTACCTATACCGAGCAAAAACCAATGATTGCCACATAAAAACAAATTAAACTCGCGAGACTATTCAATCAAAGAACGAGTGAATGAGAACCTCTTATTTCCGACTCTGTTAAATACTGCGATGTGTTGACGACGGCTTTTTTGAAGGAAAAATCATCCAATGCCTACTTGCGCCTTGGGTGAGGCGACAGGAAGTGTCAGAGTCTTCCTGGCTTAAAACCACCTCGATCTTACTTCTGCTCTTCGAACTAAAGACCCGTTAAGTCTTCCGCAGCTCCGGATCGGCATCAACCCTACTAGGCCACATCTGTGGTTGTTTGATTATTTTTTTTAAGGGGGAAAAAATCATCGAATGACTTCTCCTGCCTGTGTGAGGCGAGAGCGAGTCTCAGACTCTTACTGACTAAAAACCATCCCGGTCCTACTCCTGTCCGCAGGCCGGTGGTTACGGTGACCGGAGATCGTCTCGCGATCCCCGACGCCTAACCTTTTACACTGCTATTTTCAATTCGTCTGCCTAAAGATGTAAACCGCACTTATGTAGAGGAAACTCATACTCTAGCAGGGAACTGCGATGGAATATTTTATTAATATTTTAAAGAATACCTCTTTACGTAAGGGTGTTTTTTAAGGGGGGAAAATCATCGAATGACTACTCCCGCCTGGGTGAGGCGGGAGGGAGTGTCAGACTCTTACTGACTAAAAACCACCCCGTTCCTTCTCCTGCGCTTCGAGCCGGAGCCCCGGTTACCCGTTAGGTTCTCCACGACTTACGCATAGGTTAACGACAGATTTGGAAATGAAGTATTCAAAAAAATATAAAATTTTAAATGTTTGGTACAAATACTGTCTTTTTTACTGATTCTTCACACCTTGTTTAAATCATTGAGTTGCGTGCGTTTCATTTGTTTTTGAATATGTAGTATTTAAGGCGCTTTCATAATGATAGAAATATTTTCGGCGATCTAGTAAAGGTCTGCGACGGTTGCTGACTGTATGCAATCCCTTAATTGAGTACTTGCCTTCATCAAAAATAAATTATTTCGACTGTTCAATACAATAAAGTATAAAAAAATAATCACACTTTCATTCATTGATTTTATGACCAACTTAATTTTAGTATTATTCTAGCACATTTTTAAAAAATAACTACGCTGTTTGACGCTAAAAAAACGTGACGTCACAATACACAATCTCGTACAAAATTCATAGAAAACTCTCGTTTTTTGACAGTTCGAAAAAAAAAAAGTATTGAATGTGCAAGTTGGCAAGTACCGAATCGTACTGTTAGATGTCGCTTATGTATTGTTGAAAACCAAAACGTAGTTATATGTCATGTATAAGAAAGATATAAATCGAACGGTTATGACTTGTCTGATGCCTTATTTACTGTGATTGATAAGCAAAAATATGCATTCACAATGTAACGTTTCATTAAAAATTTTTTCAAGAATGTAACAACTAACACAATGTTATTATGTTATGTTAACAATTTACACGTAAGATATGTATACAAAATATGTTGTTCACAATGCGAAGCTACCGTGTAATATATGCATGCTTTTAAAGACTGAAGCAAATCTAAATTTGCCTCGACACTATTATATTATAAGGAGTTTGTGACGTTGTACCTGATGTGTTTTCTGTCTGTCTGTGTACACAAAACATAATGATATCTTTTATAACTTAAAGAGAAACGTGTACACGTTATTAATTGTAAATCGCGGGTCATTCACGTGAATATACTGAGACAAGCTTTTTTTATTATTTTATGGCATAAGCCGGTATACGAGCAGACGAATCACCTGATGGTAAGCAATTGGCGTCCCCCATGGACACCTGGAACACCAGAGGCGTTACAAGTGCGTTACCGGCCTATTGAGGTTGAGGATCGTTGGGGATTCAGGAATTGGGGAGATTGGGGAAGGGGAGGGTAATTGGGCATCCGGTAACCTCACTCACACGACTAAACACAACGCAAGCGTTGCTTCACGTCGGTTTTCTGTGAGGCCGTGGGTATAACTCCTCCCACACTTAGATTGGATTAGATGCAGGTAGCTTATAATACCTTACACACACACATACACACACACGTAGAATATCTCACCTCGCGATATGTAGTCATTGGGGGTGGACTGTGGGTAGCAGTGGGTAGTGTATCTAATTGCATGATAATAATAAAGAAGATAATTTTGTTTTTTTTTTTTATATTTGATGGGCCGACGTTTAGCCACGATCTCGCCTGGTAAGCGATGATGCGGTCTACGATGGAGCACGTCGTCCCATAAGCAACCTATTCAGTCAGACCTTAGATAACTAGAATGCGGAATTGTACCCTATCTTCGTTTCATATCATCGTCCAAAATATAATAATATAGGTTCTTTTGCATGGAATATTTTTGTGGTTAAAAGGTGCTTCCTCACCGGGAACATTCGCATGTAATGTAACGTTACAGATCTGAGCGTTACATCAGTGAAGGAGGAGAGCCGAGCATTACAATGCGCACCTTGTAATGATACAATGTGTAATATCTTGATACAACTTGTAACATCAATGCGCTCCACTTCCCCTAGCCCCCTATCGTCTGGCATCTTGCTATGAAATGCTCAAAGTCGAATCAATATATTATATTACACGCAAATGCTCGTTAGTCAAGGAGGTATTATTGTAATGTAATGCTCAAAGTCGAATCAATATGTTACATTACACGTGAATCCCGGTGAGGGAGCACCTTAATATTTCTTTTGTATTCATGATATTAAATTTGTCTTGTTTTGTTTCAGGTATGTACCTAATTCACCGAACGTATTTAATATTTTTAATTTAAATATGAATACTTGCTACCTACTATGTTAAAAGGTAAGTTTGACTTTGATTTCAAATTTAACTCGTCGAGTACCGTCTTTGTAGACACAATTATAGAACAATAGGTTGCGGTCACCGGTGACCGCTTGGTGTTTGACAGTTTAAATGCGTCATTTAGTACCTATGTTTTTTTGGTTGTTACTCCTTCATGTCAAAACGGTTGAAAGGATCGAGGTGAAATTTGGAACGGGGGTAGATTATTGACAACGCGATCGAAACCGCTGGCAGAAGATAATATTATGTACATATTTTTGTTTTCACGTGGGAGACCCATGCTTTGGCATGAATAGGCCGTTTCCATCGGAGTGATACCACGGCCTCACAGAAAACTGCCGTGGAACAACGCTTTCGTTTTATGCGGACGTCTGAATGACACGAGAGGTACAGTAGAGTCTGTCCCACTTTTCCTAAATGCCGGCAATGCAATTGTATCTTCTCTAGTGTTGCCATGGGCGGCGCTGATTGCTTACCATTAGGTGATCCGTCTGTTCGTTTACTCCCCATTTTTTTTAAAGGGGTAAATACATCGAATGACTTCTCCCGCCTGAGTGAGGCGGGAGGGAGTGTCGGACTCTTAATGACTAAACACCATCATGTTCCTACTCCTGCTGCACTTCCAGCCAGAGCTTCGGGAATTTTTTACATTCGTCGCGGCCTTTTTTTTCTTATAATATCTTCTGATTCACTTTGTTGCGGGAACCAAGACATTTACTCATGTCCCTGGGACGCGCTGGACTTTAGTGTTCCGGTGTTTGGATGGTTGTATCTACTGTAGATACTGGCTTACAGGAGTTGCAGCGGTTATGGGAGACTGTGGCGGGATTGTCCCAAAAAAAAATTGTCCATCCTATAGCTTTTAAAATACAAAGTATAGGTTCGGCAGACTACTGAAGTTAGGTGGACTCGGAATCGAATTCGCACTTACACAGCTAAAGTATTCTTTTTGTAATTAATTACGTAATTCTATTGTTATGCTATGCTCATGCCATTATTATAGTAATATTGATTCATCATCATCATCAACAGCCTATAAATGCCTACTGCTGAGCAAAGCCTCTTCTCACACGGAGAAGGTTAGAGCGTTAATCACCACGCTTGCTCAATGCAGGTTGGCGATTTCAAACTTATAATTAGAAATTATAAGTCCAGGTTTCCTAACGATGTTTTTCCATCACCGTTTGTCAGTGGTGTCTAAATAATCTTAGAAAGTACATATAACTCGGAAAAAGTCACATTGGTACTTGCCGTTGGTAGGTTTCGAAACCGCACCCTCATGCATGAGAAGTGGGCGTCTTAAACCTCCGGGCCACCACGACATTACGACAATATTGATTACTGATTATAAATCATTTTAAATAATAATATACAAAAAATATAGGTAACGCCATGTTTGTTATTATAAAACTCTGAAGGACATTCTAATGTCCTGTGTGACGTAAAGTTCCGGGTTTGATGTCAGACTCGTTACATTGTCAACTTAACAGAGGTGTTTATTATATAATTATCGTTATTTACAACTTTGTTTTGTTGTTGAATTTTATCGGTTTTCTTGTTTTTATTGATGCTTTTGTCTTAGTCACCTATCTGTCTAAAGATTTACTTATTAGAAACTAGTTTCTGCCAGCGGCTTCGCCCGCATTTCTAGGGGTAAAAAGTAGCCTATGATACTCCAGACTTAATCTACTTGTTCCAAATTTTATGCCGGTCCCTTCAGCCGTTTTCATGTGACAAACATACACATATACTCACATTTTTGAGTTCTGTATCTATCTATTAACACTACCACTATTTTTTACCAGTATTTTTGAATCATAAATTCTCAACCAACTGCTTTTGTTTAGAATAGAAGGTCGTTTTTCATTAACGAAGTATTCTCAATAAAATTTTCACCGTAGTTTAACTGATACCCACTGCAAGACTAGCAGTGGGGATTAAAAATTACAAGCTTCGTGTTGCCTAAAATTTTTTTTGTTACATTTACACCTGGATTTCCACGAACATTCCAAGACCGAAACTAGCCAAATCGGTTCAGCCATTCTCGATCAGTATGTTCACGTGAGTAACCCGCGATTTTTAGTTAATATAGTTGAATAGTTTGTTTGTTTGTTTGTTTCTTTAAACGCGCTAATTTCAGGAACTACTAGTCCGATTTCCGAAAAATTTTTTTTGTATTGTATAGCCCATTTGTCGAGTAAGGCTATAGGCTTTAAAACATCACGCTACGATGATGAGGATTCGAGCAAAGTGGTTGAAACAGCGTGGAAGTAGATAGTACCAACTTACACTTACCATTCGAATCATACCCCATAACTAAAACGTGGCTTAAATTCAGCGCTGGTACAGTCAGGTCGCTCCATACAGCTAAAGCCCTCGCCAAGGCAGCTGCTCTCAAAGGCACCATGATACCAGCTGGTGGTCTAACGCAGCAGTCTTGTAGCCAGCTCCTAACAACGGAACGAGTGGTCTGCGGTTTGAAAGGGGGCTGGGTGTCGAAGTTTCTCTTGTCTAGCAGTGGTTTTGGATCTGTAACAGAAAATATTGGACGTTTATGAGGTGTTATTCAAAGTCAAAGTCAAAATCATTTATTTCAATTAGACCAGGAAGGCACTTTTAAACGTCAAAACAAAATATTTAAATAGTAAATCTATATATATAAAATTCAAAGGTGATTGACTGACTGACTGATTGACTGACTGACATAGTGATCTATCAACGCACAGCCCAAACCGCTGGACAGATTGGGCTAAAATTTGGCATACAGATAGATGTTATGACGTAGGCATTCGCTAAGAAAGGATTTTGATAATTTCCACCCCCAAGGGGGTAAAAAAGGGGATGAAAGTTTGTATGAAACTTTGTCAGTTTTTAACTGATCGGGTTGAAATTTGGCATGCAGATAGATGTTATGACGTAAGCATCCGCTTTGAAAGGATTTTGATAATTTCCACCAAGGGGGTAAAATAGGGGATGAACGTTTGTGTGAGGCTTTGTCAGTTTTACACCGATCGGGTTGAAATTCGGCGTGCAGATGGATATTATGACGTAAACGTCCCTTTAGAAAGGTTTTTGAACATTCTCACCCCAAAGTATGATACTTTGCCAGTTTTAAATTGATCGGGCTGAGACTTTGCATGCATAAAGTTACTATGACATAGGTATCTCTTTAGAAAGGATTTTGATAAATTCCACCCCTAAGGGGATAAAATAGGGAATGAGAGTTTGTATAAATCTTCTTAGCCGTTGAATTTAGAATCATTGAATCTTTTTGAATTACATTCGGTAAAACGATGATTTGGGACCTGGGTAACGTATGATAGTTTTTTCACAGATGTCTCACGAGAACGGGAACTATGCGTCAATGCCCCAGGACTCTCTAACTCTTAACCACTGAACTTATTCTAGAGAGATTCGGTACAACAATAGTCGATAGAATAGTTTTTATTACTCAAACCTTACGTGATCGGGCACTGTACTGGTAAGATCCCTGCGGGATTATTTATTTATTGAAACTACGATAAATCATTTCAAAATAGGTAAATCTTACTTGGGCAACAGCTATCTACACATATAATAAATCGTAGAAAAGTCAAAATTGTACATTAAATATTTTTTAAAAGAATATTTGAAGCGTGATTTCTAATCGATACCGAAGCCAATAATGTGGTTTTTAGAATTTTTGTCTGTTTGTCTGTATGTATCATCTACGGGACTGAATCAATTCTGACGACATCCATTACCGTAGAATATCCCTTGATAAAAACTAATTCAAAAGCCTAAATTCTGCCAGAAGTCATTATTCTACGCGGACGAAGTCGCGGGCAACAGCTAGTAATAAGAATAAATGTCAGTCTGTAGGTCAGTCCTCTAGTGAAGCTATTGTGACGTTTCATCAATGGGTCTTTTTTTGAGGAGGGAACATTAACAAATGGCTTCTCCCGCCTTAGATTAGGCGAGAGGGAGTGTCAGACTCTTACTCCTGCTACTGCTCTTCGAGCCGGAGCCCCGGCAACCCGTTAGGCCTTCCGCGGCTCCGTAACATCAATAAGCCCTTGTCTACTGTAGTCTCTTCTACATGTCGCTGAGAACCTAACGGGTTACTGGGGCTTCGGCTCATCGTGCAGGAGAAGGAACGGGGTGGTTTTTAGTCAGTAAGAGTCTGACACTTCCTCCCGCCTCACCTAGGCGGAAGCAGTCATGATATTCCCCCCTTAAAAAAAAAGTATCTTCTACATAAAAGGGATTGCCATATACATGCTCTTCAGACAGACGGGTTGGACATGGCAGTAATAAAAAGTTCAGGTTTATCAGAGAGCGCTGTGGTCCGGTCTCTGTCAAATGTGAAGTACCTTAGTCAGCGCCAATGACACTCGCGGCAAGAGTAGTTGTTGTGGAATAACATAACATTACATCACGCCTTTTATCCCCGAAGGGGTAGGCAGAGGTGTACATTACAGCACTTAATGCCACTGTACAATGTAACACCCACATTTTACTATTTATGTTATCGGTCCTATGTAATAGGGGGTGTGCCTATTGCTATTGTTGTGGAATATGTATTCCATTCGGTCGTTACCACACGTCGATTAGACTATCAATAAATTAATTTAGAAATTGTCCAAAATTTAAAATTTAAAAAGGATGAGTTGAAAACTCACTTCTATGGTAGAAATTCGACTTAATTATGATGACGGTAACGCACAATATTAAATGTAGTTCTCACCATTATCTGCCTTAGGGTTCCTCTGACCAGACGATTCTTCTTCTTCCGTCTCCTGCATCTTCGGAGACGGTTCCTCCTCTATAGCCCTCGTTGTGGCAGTCATTTGAACTGTCTCAGTCTGAAATATTACAGTTTATAATGTTTCACTGTTTTTTTTGCAAGATCTCTGGTTTCAACAGCGACTGGCGCTAAAGGGGCGTCAGATCTTTTTGTTTCAATCAGCTCAGCTGTCAGAAGTTCATTGTTTAATGAATTGGCAGTAGCAAATATCCTATTGGGTAATTTAACTTAAATTAAATTTATATTTTCGGCTTACTCACGTAATTATTTGACGAGGAACTAGACTAGTTTTAAGCCGTGCTAAATGCTCATATTCATGAGCAGGATTCCGCGATCAGCGACGCGGCGTCAGTAGCAGCCTGACAGTGAAACTAGTCTAGTTCCTCGTCGAATTATTACGTGAGTAAGCCGAAAAACATAATGATTAATTTAGTATGTCTTAACGAAAGTTATAATTGGACCTTAAATGATACTACCTCGTTGGCGGAGTGGTCGCAAGTGCGACTGCCGGGCAAGGGGTTTCGTGTCCAATTCCCGGGTCAGGCAACGTAATACTACGTTTTTTAAAAATTGTCAGTGGTAGCACGGAGTCTGGAATTGTGCTCGGTATATGGCAATAGGCTCATTCCTTATTGGGACATGGGACTCATAACATAAATAGTGAAAAGTGGGTGTTACATTGTACAGTGTAATAATGTACACCTCTGGCTACCCCTTCGGGGATAAAAGGCGTGATGTTATGTATGTAAATGTAAATTCAATATTTTGAATAAGGACAATTCTTCTTTTTTGTTGGAGCTTTTATTTCGTTACCCTTTTGACAATTTGACTGCCAACGTCTTTTCATTGTCTATTTTTGAACAATTACAAGTTTTAGCAGCATTTTGATTAAATAATTTAGATAACGCTTAATATATATCTTTTATGCAAAATTTTATTGTATTACGTTAGTATAATGGTGACTTTGATTTATTTTGTTTTGTGTATACCAAAAAAGTATTCATTAAAAGTATCTTAATGAGTTAAAATAATTCGGTACTTGCTAACTAGTGAAAATCAATACATTTTTCGAACTGTCAAAAACGATTGTTTTCTATGAATTTTGTACGAGACTGTGTATTGTGACCTCATGGTTTTTAAGCGTCAAGCAGCATAGTTATTTTTAAAAATATGCCGGAAAAATACTAAAATTAAGTTGGTCATAAAATCAATTAATGAAAGTGTGATTATTTTTTAATATTTTATTGTATTGAACAGTCGAAATGATTTGTTTTGGCCAAGGCAAGTACCCAATTCTGATTATCTCTCTCTCTTTGATAAAAGAATTTGGTTTTGATTCCTACGAACATGTAACTTGTACATATAGTTACATTAAGTTTTTTTTTTTATCAAGGATCATAATAGTAACGTAGGTCCTAATTAAGAGCCTAAAACATAACAAATGACTTACTCTTTACAACATAACTGGTGAATAGAAGTTATTAAATATAAGTGTGGGAGAGCCATGCGCCGGCGTGTGCGTTCGGCGCGAATGGGCCGGCTCGACCGGAGTGATACCACGGCCGAGCAGAAAACCGACTTCAAACAACATTTTGTGTGCTTCGTTGTGTGAGTGAAGTTACCGGAGGCCCAGTTATGCGCCTCCCCAATCTCTGATTCTCTAACAATCCTCAAATTTCTAATCCCCAAAAGGCCGGTAACGCAGCGGTAACACCCCTGGTGTTTCAGGTGTCCATGGGCGACGCCGATTGCTTATCATCAAGTGATCCGTCTGCTCGTTTACTGGTTAATTCCATAAAAAATAGAGTTATTTTACTGCATTATACTAGTCTTTCTGTATAACCATGCCTTATTCACTAATTAATTTATTTTAACAAACATTTGTGTTTCCAAAAATTAACTTCATAAATTATTTTCAGAGTGTTACCACATCAATCGATCAATCCAATCTATCGACAGCGCTCGATGTTGATCGATTGGCTTTAATTGTGGACGGATTCCGATTGACTAACCAATAGGTCGACTGCAAGTCGACGTTGATCGGACGGTCAGGACAACAACAGGGAGCTTGACCAGGTCGATCGATGTTGCCTTATTCATTCTACCATCGATCGACGTGCGAGCGGTTGACGTGGTAACACCCTAATTCTGCTTGAATTTTCACAAGCACTTATTTCTGTACCATCAACTCTATAATAATCACTTACCTTAGTGACCGTTTCAATATTATTACTCAGATTCGAAGCAATAGTTCCAACATCGTCGACCACATTTGAAGAGCTTGGAGCAGTGACATCCACACTGGTTTCTTCAGTCACCGTCTCAGCACTCTCCTGTTCATCTTCTTTATCCTTAACATCTTCTGGAGTTACGCTGAATTCTGTAGTAGTTCTAACATCATCTTCTTCTACTACCGTTGTTGTGTCATCAGTGATTTCTTCGCTGTCTTTTATTGTTTTAATTTCTTCTGATGTTAACTGTGTTTGTGCAATTATGAAGTTTGTTATTATTAATAGTAGGATTGTTTTTGATTTTGTCGCCATCTTTGGTGTTTATGGCATTCTTTGGTTGAGATCTGTGGACAAAGATTTTCTTCGGTTAGTTTTTTGTTTCGAGTTTATTTATCAAAGGTGCGTTTGCACCAGAGGTGTGTATATGAACGATAATTATTTTTGTATAGGATAGTCCATTTATCAAGAAAGGCAATAGGCTATTGAACATCACGCATCATTACGATTAGTGCGGGTGAAACCGCGCGACAGTATCTAGCATAATATGAAGGTGCTCCCACACCGGGAGCATTCACGTGTAATTTTTTTAATGTAATATGTATCGCTCATCGTAATGGTAATCTTAATGGCAGTAATTACAAATGTGAGCAATCAAATAATAAATTCAGTTGTTTTATAAAGTTAAATAGGAAATAAAGAGCTTCGTTACTCGAGTGTTTTGGGTCCGATTCTTGAGTCAGACTAAGTGTTATATGAGAGGTGTATACTCAGTAGTCAGTAGCACGGAATTTGGTATTGTATAGTGTATGCAAATAAGCCATTTTCTGTTATTTTTATTAAGGGGTAAATCATCGAATGACAGCTCCCGCCTGAGTGAGGCGGAAGGGAGTGTCAGACTCTTACTGACTAAAACCACCCCGTTCCTATTCTTGGACTTCGAGCCGTAACCCCGCTAACCCGTTAAGTCTTCCGCAGCTATTTTTTTATTTTCTGTTACTTAGGAAATTAGGACTCATAATATAATTAGTGACCAATGGGTGTTGCATTGTATGTTTTTACCTCTGCTTACCCCTTTGGAGATGATACGGCATGAGGTCAGAGTGTAGCAAAGGGTGTGAAGTGGATTTGGGACTTGAAATGTGAGACCTGAAAATCCTTACAAATGACTAGTTTTTCATGTAGAAAGGATGGATGATAGTAGGGTAACAAAAGAAGTATACAGAGTGGATATCAATGGGGCCGCCGGTAGAGGGCGCCCTAGTCGGACATACACTGACCAGATGTGCGGTATATTAAAGAAGGGCCAAAAGTACTCTTAACCGACGAGCATGCATGAAAAGATTGATGACTGTTGATGAAGCGAAAGAGGTATGTAGGAATCGTAGTAATTGGCGTTCCGTAGTTTTTGCCTAGGAGACAGGCGTGAAGTTATGTATTTATGTATGTATGACTGGCTTTAATTTCCATCGCATAGAATACCTAAAAATAAGGCGAAAATCATCTGGACACTTTTTGTCTAAAACTTCAGGTCTACCTGAAAAGGTGAACTATGCAGTGAAGCTCAACCTGACTTCGAATCCAAGACCTCTAACTCACTAACAGTTCCAACATCCACTCATCCACCGGACTCATCAGTAATCATACATAATGAACGAATTGAAACTAATCATTTAAAATTACCATTTTAAACTTAATACTACACACGCAGTCGCATTTTGAAAAAATAATTTTGTTTTTAATGGCTCCTAATGACACTTGCATGCAATAATTTCGAGTTTGCGAGGTTGTCGACATGTTAAGTGTAATTTTTAGGGGATTCAGATCCCGTTTTCGGTTATTTTACTTTTGTTTCTTGATTTTCTTCGAGAGTGGAAAAGGACTGCCTCATTAGCTTGGCCGAATGTTCGCAACTGCGACTGCCGGGCAAGGGGTCTCGGATTCGATTCTCGGGTCGGGCAAAGTATTACTGGGTTGGTAAAAACTTCAGTGCACGGAGTCTGGAAATGTGCCCGGTATATGGCAATAGGCTCACACACTATTACATGGGACTCGTAACATAACATAA